TAGCTGAATAATTCTTTCATTATTATTAAGGAACCCCAAAAAACCTACTCCATTTAAAACAAATGATCTTTCAACGATGAATTTATACAAATTATAAAAAGGGGTTTCCAGTTATATTATCACACATAATTTCCACCGAGGACGCTCAGCCTAATCCAACATAAATGTAAATTGTGCACTACCGAAGGTCGAACGATGCGAACCATAGATGCATCTATTTCCCCGCTCGCGAATCAAACATGCGATGCGGTTCCCACTCGCGAATCTGCGACGCAGTCAAATATAAATTTAACATTAAAATTATATATCTTTCTTAATTCTTTTTAAAATGAGGGAAATTAAGATTGTAGCTTTTTAAGGAAATTACCCCGCTCGCAAAACATACATGCGACGCGGATACCCATAGATTTCTTAAGATATTATAATATTCCTTAATTCTTTTCGATATTACGAGTTCAAATGAAACCTTTTCAATATTAAATTCCTTAATTTCAACTCCTTTCAAAATATTTAATAAGCAAACTCAATCTCGCTCCCTCTCAAGGCAAAAATGACCATAAATCAATAACGTTATCAACAAGGCATGATGTAATCCTAAAACTACCCAGACATAAGAATAACTAATAGCTACGTAGGGACTCTCATCACCTCGTGCATACGTAGCTCCCACAAGTAGAAGCACATAATAATTTAGTTCACCTATAGGGTTAATTCCCTCTTACAGGGTTAGAAAGGAGACTTACCTCGCTCTGAAGTTCCATAATCGACTCCATCACCACTCTAGCACCTCAAACCGATGCTCAACGCTCCAAAACTAGCCAAAGAAGCGTAAACCAATGAAAATATATGCTAATACTCATAAAAATTCTATTTACAACAATTTCCAACTTCGCTCGGAAAGTCGATAGAAATCACCCTCCGGACCAAGTGCCTGGAATCCGAAATTTTTTGAAGATAAACATTACCCATAACCTTACGAACTCAAATATATAATTTATTCCCAATTCCATATCCAATTTTGTGGTGTAAATCTAAGAATACCAATTTCTAGGTTTTCTTCCAAATCCTATAATTTCTACAAATTTTCATGTCACAATCCATATATAATCCAAGTATTTAACTTGCAATAGGTGGGAATCACTTACCTTGACATAGATGATGAAAATTTCCCTTCCAAGAGCTCCAAAATTCATCCAACCCAAATGAAAATGGGAAAAAAATAGGCCAAGTCCTGCTTTTATAGAACCCTTTTGCCAGCAACATTTTCATACCTGCGGAACAGTAGTCTCTTCTGCGATTTCGCATGTGTGGTCAAAATCCCGCTCCTCCGCTTTTGCGCCTCTTTCTTTGCTTCTGCACTTGCGCAGATACGGCCACAACTCCGCACCTGCGGTCCTTCACCTGACTGCCCCGCTCCACTTCTGCGACACCTAGGTCGCTTCTACGGCTTTGCACCTGCGGCCAATGCCTCGCAGGTGCAGTTACACCATATACTAGTTGTTTCAATTCTTCTTCAAATTCCAAATTTGATCCATTAACCATCCGGAATCCACTCAAGTATCTCGGGACCCCGTCAAATTATTCCAATGATATTAGGCTATATAGATGATATTTACACCTCAATATTACCATACTTTACTGTGGTTTTATAGGCAAATTGATAACAAAATGCTCTAATTGATGTTCTTTTGCTTCGTAGGGAATAATCTAAGCGAGGAAGCACTAAGTAGTGTTTTGAAGTCAATAATGTGAAGAAAATGCCCAATCAAGAAGTACCCGAGCATCAAATAGCAAAAAAAATCCACCGTGGTCGCGGTGGAAAGGCGGTTAAACCGCGACAGATCAAGTGGCGAGGCAGAATGTTTAGCATTCACTGCGGTCCTACCGCGGTTCTGCTGTGACCGCGATGAACTGATCATTCGCCAGAAAATTGAGGGACCAAAGGGCAAAAATCGGGAAAACGTGTTCCAAACATTAAACTTTAGAAGCTCGTCCACAATAAAGCTAAGCTATTTTTTAGACATTAATGGAGGCAATAACAAGTGTGAGAAGATCAACCAAACATTAAAGTTTTTCTTTCTCCCTTTTATTTTCTTGCAATCTTACATTATGAACAATTTAGTAGTTTTCTCTTTTGTTATGAGTAGCTAAACACTTATCTAGGGTTGATGAACCCAATTGTTGGTTGAAGTTTTGACTCAACTTGTTATAATCGAGCCGGATTTATTATATGATCGTTCTACTATATTTTGTATGGTGGTTAATTGCATGGGCTCTTGATTAATCGTGTCTAGTTACCTCTTATTGCTTGAGAAAGAATATTGGGTTAGATTGATGTTGAACAATACCATTTTTGGTTAATTGAAGAGATTCATTACTTGAACTTAAAAGTGAGTTTAGAGATAACGAAACTTTGGTGGGAAAATTTAGAGCTGTACATATTGTCAGCTAGAGTAGTTCGAGAGAATGCTCTAGTAAATTATTATAGTTGATCGAGAGATAATTACGATAACCCATAGCTCTTAATCCTCATAGAATATTACGGCGAGATTATAGCGAAAGAGTCAAGATCTAAAACTAGCAATTGGGGACATCACTGTCCTAGACCTTTTACCATTGAATTATCTTTGCTTAAGCTTATTTTTATTTTTAATATTATTTGAAGTAGTTAAACGAAAACTAAATCTTTATTGATCAAAATCTTACATCTAGAAAGTGGTTGAGTTGATAATAGCATTGCCAAAAAGTTGTAATAGATAGGTTAGTTCTCTGAGGATTCGACTCTGGACTTAAAATCGGATTATATTTGCAACGACCGCTTTGTCTTTTAGAAGACATAGTTGGGCGTGATCAAATTTTGGCGCCGTTGCTGGGGACCTAACGGTTTATTTATTACAACTTAAAAGTAGTGTTAGAATTATTAGTTTAAATCAATTTTTGAAGGTGTTAAACAACCTTTTTATTGAAATTCTCACGTTTGAACTTTTGTGAACTTCAGGTGTATGCCTAGAAACTCTTCGAGGATTGGAGAACTGCTTGAAGGACTCTCAGACCCCAAGAAAACATTCAGGGCATTGAACCGTGCCAACAAGAGGATCACCAATCACAGCACCCACACCAGCTCGAATTTGATATGGGTGACGCAGAAAACATCAATAGAAACGTCGGGGATGCGCCAGCACCCCCAAACATTGGAGTAGTGGAACCTCTTGTGCCAGAAGCTGCACTTTATGATTGAGCACAACCTACAGTTGACAACCTGGCTACTGCTATTGTTGTGCCCCCAATTTAAGTGGAGACATTCCAGATTACCAACAACATGTTGCACCTTCTGCAGAATAAGGGATTGTTCTCCGGGTCACACATTGAAGACCCTCAGCAACACTTGAAAAAAAATTTGTCGATTTGTATGACCCAAAGGCAGCCGAATATGATCCCAGAAGCTATCAAGCTACTACTATTTCTATTCTCTGTGACTGGGGAAGCTCAGACTTGGCTGTATTCGCTCCCAATCAATTCCATTGTCACCTGGGAGGAATTAGTCAAGCAGTTCCTGAATAATTTCTTCCCGCCCACCAAAACCGCAAGGCAGATTGATGAAATATTACAGTACAAGCAGCAGCCGACTGAGACCTTGCAAGAAACTTGGGAAAGGTTCAAAGGGATGCTAGTGAAATGTCCTCATCATGGTATTCCGGATAAAATGCTCGGGCAGAGGTTCTACATGGGGTTAGCTAACAATTTAAAGGCCAATGTGGATGCTTCAGTTGGAGGTGCATTTTTGAGTAAGACATTCACCGAGTGCAAAGTCCTTCTTGACAAGATGTCCCAAAATTCGGGGTGGATGACTAGAGGTACAACACTAGCACCCATAATGCATTCCGTTCCTCTTGACCCAAATAATTCGCATGTAGAGAACATGGCCACACTCCTGACTCAGATGAGTATATTGACAAAGAATATTGACGAGATGGGTACGAAACAGGTGTATATTGTTGACACAACAAATGGAGGACTGTGTACACCCTGTATTAATCAGTCTTATGTGTGCTCATGGAGTGGAGAAGGTGACAATCAAGGGGTAAGAGAATATATGAATTATGTCAACAACTTTGGGGTTCAGAGACTAGGAGGACAGCAGTGGAGACCGGCACCATATCAGCAATATAGGCCAAACATGCAACAGCCTGGAGGTATGCAACCTCAAGGCCAACTGGTGCTACCAGAGACAGCAGGGTTATCCACAACAGAACCAACTACAGTTGACATATCAGCCACCTACTCAACAACAAGATAACAATATGGTAGAGATCAGGGGTATGCTTCAGCAACTCATTAGGACAAATGGTAAGATGCAAGAAAAGTTGGCAGTGCATGATTCAGCTATAAAGAACATTGAAACTCAGTTGGGGCAGTTGTCTATGGCTTTAAACAATCGCCCCCAGGGAACATTGCCAGCGGACACAAATATCAACCCCAAAGAGCAAACCCCGAATCAGCTGATGGCAGTAAGTCTCCGAAATGGCAGAGATTTAGACAAAGAGAAGGAAAAGGAACAAGCCAGCAAAGAGACTACGCCAGCCACGCCAATTCCACTAGAGGTAGATGAACCATCAGAATTTACTGAAGTGGTGATTGAACTAGATCAGGGTGAAAAGGGTAAGGCAAAGGCGAGTGAACAAGCTGCAGAACAAGAGGTACCTCTTATGCCACAGAACCCCAACAAAGAGAAGCCAGCAAGCAGTGCACAAAGGGTGGTACCTGCACCATTCCCTCAAAGACTGGTAAAACAAAAGAAGGAAGATCAATACAGAAAATTCATGGAGATGTTGCGACAAATTCAGTTGAATATTCCGTTGATGGATGCCTTGAGGGAGATGCCAGGTTATATGAAGATGATGAAGGATCTAATGTCACAAAAGTTTGACTTTCAGGACCTATCCATAGTGACTCTGACGCAGACCTACAGTACAGTAGTGACAAAACCCATGGCTTAAAAGATGTCTGACCCAGGTAGCTTTACGATTCCATGCACTTTTGGGAGTTATGCCTTTGCAAGGGCATTATGTGACTTAGGATCCAGCATAAATTTGATGCCTCTGGCTGTATACACCAAACTGGGCATTGGCATAGCTAGACCGACTTCGATGCTATTGCAGCTGGCAGACCGCACAGTTAAACGGCCGACTGGGATTCTTGATGATGTGTTGGTACAAGTGGGGAAGTTTGTGTTCCCTGCATACTTTGTTATTCTGCACTGTCAAGTAGATGAGGAGATCCCCATCATTTTAGGGAGGTCATTCTTAGCCACTAGGAGAGTACTGATTGATTGTGAGACTGAGGAATTAAAAATGAGGCTGAACAATGAAGAAGTCATATTCAATGTTCAGCAATCCATGAGGAGACCCGGTGAATATGCTAATTGCTCCTTAGTGGAGGCAGTGGATGTAATCCTACACGAAGATGATGTGACCTTGACTGCTAAAGATCCATTAGAGGCTTGCCTAACAAACTTAGAGGAGATGGATGATAACGGGTTAGCTGAGTTGGTCATGGCACTTGAAGGCCAAGGATTTTGGAAGAGGGAACCTTAGTACGAGTCCCTTGAGTTAGAAAAAAGGGCTACACCTACAGCAAAGCCATCAGTAGAGGAACCACCCAGATGGAGCTGAAACCACTCCCAGCTCACCTCAGGTACGTTTTCTTAGGCCCCGACTCTACTTTTCCTATCATTATATCATCCGGTTTGCTAGATGTGCAGGTAGAGCAGCTCCTACAAGTACTACAGGAATGGAAGACTGCCATTGGTTGGACTATGGTAGACATAAAGGGTATCAGCCCATCCTTTTATAGGCACAAAATTCTCTTGGAAGAAGGGCATAAACCTTCCAGAGAACATCAACGAAGGCTGAACCCGAATATGAAAGAGGTGGTGAAGAAGGAAGTGATCAAATGGTTAGATGCGGGAATCATTTTCCCCATATCTGATAGCAATTGGGTCAGTCCTGTCCAATGTGTGCCGAAAAGAAGGGAATGACGGTTGTACAAAATGAGAACAACGAGTTGATCTCAACTCGTACAGTCACGGGATGGCGGATTTGCATGGATTACCGAAAATTGAACATAGCCACCTGGAAGGACCACTTTCCTCTGCCATTCATTGACCAAATATTGGACAGGCTGGCCGGGCGACCACACTTCTATTTCTTGGATGGATATTCGGGGTACAATCAGATCTCAATAGCCCCCGAAGATAGAGAGAAAACATCCTTTATTTGTCTGTATGGCATCTTCGCCTTTTTTAGAATGCCTTTTGGGCTTTGCAATGCACCAACGACATTTCAACGGTGCATGTTAGCCCTTTTCATAGACATGGTGGAGGATATTATGGAGGTTTTTATGGATGATTTCTCCATAGTGGGGGATTCATTTGAGGATTGTCTTCACAATTTAAAAAGAGTGCTCAAAAGATGTGTGGAGATAAATTTAGTGCTAAACTGGGAGAAGTGCCATTTTATGGTACAAGAAGGGATCGTCCTAGGGCATCGAGTATCCAGTAAGGGAATTGAGGTTGACCATGCTAAGGTTGACGTGATTGAAAAGTTGCCACCGCCTACTTCAGTCAAGGCGGTGAGAAGTTTCCTTGGGCACACGCGGGTTCTACCGGCGATTCATAAAATATTTCTCTAAAATTGTTAACCCATTATGCAAACTCCTTGAAAAGGATCATCCCTTTTTGTTTTCTAATGATTGCAGGTTGGCATTTGAGGAGTTGAAAAAGAGATTGGTGATTGCACCCATCATTGTTGCACCCAACTAGGAGCAGCCGTTTGAGCTCATGTGCAATACAAGCGATTATGCTATAGGAGCAGTCTTGGGGCACAGAAAAGATAAACTGATGCACCCGATTTACTATGCAAGCAGAACACTTAGCGGTGCATAACTCAATTACACCGTGGCGGAGAAGGAGATGTTGGCTGTTGTTTTTGCATTCGACAAATTCAGGTCATACTCAATTGACTCAAAAGTTATTATTTACACTGACCATGCAGCAATTAGGTACCTGATAGAAAAGAAAGAGTCAAAGTCACGCTTGATTCGTTGGGTTCTTCTGTTACAAGAATTCGATCTGGAGATATGTGATAGAAAAGGGACAGAGAACCAAGTAGTTGACCACTTCTCAAGGTTGGAAGGAGCTGAAAAGAAAGTAAAGATTGAGGATATAACAGAGAAATTCCCGGATGAATAGTTACTAGAAATAACAATGAAGGAAGCACCATGGTATGCTGACATTGCTAATTATTTAGCAAGTGGTATTGTACCTCACGAGCTCTCCTCTATTCAAAAGAAAAAGTTCTTTTGTGATTGTCGGTCTTATTATTGGGATGAACCTCTTTTGTTTAAAATCTGTGTAGATAACATGATCCGGTAGTGTATCCCCGAGAAAGATCAAAATTCTGTTTTGCAGGCATGCCATGCCTCACCATATGGTGAGCACTTTGGAGGAATTCGGACAACAGCTAAGGTGTTGGAGTCGGGCTTGTATTGGCCAACCCTGTTCAAGGATACCCATACTTGGGTCAAAAGCTATGATGAATGCCAAAGGACAAGCAATATATCTCACAGACATGAGATGCCAATGACCACAATTCAAGAGGTTGAGGTTTTTGACATGTAGGGGATCGACTTCATGGGGCCATTTGTCAGCTTATATGGTAACAAGAACATATTGGTAGCAGTTGACTACTTCTCCAAGTGGGTCGAAGCAGTGGCTCTCCCAACCAATGATGTTAAAGGGGCAACAGGCTTTCTAAAGAAGAACATTTTTACACAATTTGGCACCCTAAGAGCTATACTCAGTGATGGCGCAACTCATTTCTGTAATAGAGCGTTCGCACGGCTGCTTGAAAAATATGGAGTTCGTCATACGGTGACCACCCCATATCATCCACAATCGAGCGGGCAAGTTGAAGTGTCCAACATGGAGATTAAAAGTGTCCTTACAAAAACAGTGAATGCAACAAGGACCGATTGGGCAAGGAAGTTGGATGATGCATTGTAGGCATACCGCACAGCCTTTAAAACTCCAATTGGTATGTCACCGTACAAATTGGTCTTTGGTAAGGTATGCCACCTCCCGGTGGAGCTTGAGCACAAAGCACTTTGGGCATTGCGACAGTTGAACTTGGACATGAAAACAGCAGGTACTAACAGAGTCACTGGGTTACATGAGCTTGAGGAATTCAGGTTCCATGTATTTGAGAGTGCTAGATTATACAAAGAACGGATGAAGCTTATGCAGGACAAGAACATCGTGGACCGAAACTTCAAATCTGGAGAGCTAGTGTTGTTATAAAACTCCAAATTGAGATTATTTCCGGGTAAGTTGAAGTTCTGATGGTCAGGACCTTTCAGAGTGGTGTAAATGTTCCCAAGTGGAGCTGTTGAGATTGAATCAGAGGATGGGACGAATAAGTTCACATTGAATGGTCAGAGGTTGAAACATTACCTTGGAATGGCAAATGAAAAAGGGGACAGAGAGATAATCATGTTGGAAGAGCCCCAGTACGTGAATGAGGAGTGATGCTCC